CTGAAACTCATTATCTTCTGTTTTGTCTCCCTCTCCTAAACTCTGCTTCAATAGAGGATGCCCACATACCCATCTCTCCTCATCTTTCTGGTAAGCTCATCACATCTTCTTTTGGTTTCAACAAAAACAATGGTTTTATTCTCCTTCTCGCTCATGATCTCTTCCATTAGACGAATAAGTCTAAAGATAAAAAGAAAAAGTTTTAAAATTTACTGACATTAGTTAAATTCAATGTATATGGACATACGTGAAAAAGGAAATAGCTACTAAGCCACTAATCAGGCAATCCTTCCCTTGTTTCTGTTAGTACACCATGAGATGTTTCCTTTTTCTACAGAAATCCTATAAATACTAACAGGGCTATTAATCTGAATTTAACAGATTAAGACTGGCCCCCATACACACAGGGCTCAAACCTGGGGCCTTGAACAAGCTAGGCAAGTATATCAACAGCCCCAACAGATTGAACATATTCAATAAGGTAACATATGAAACTGTGACTTCCCTTACATAAGCACGGCTAAGAGTTCATGACTTATACTCACTTTTCATCCTTCTCTACATCATGACATACATCCACAATCTGAAGAATGTTGTGATTTGCACTCAGTTCTAGTGCACCAATGTTTATATGAATGTAGTCTTTCAGGAAATCTTCAGCAAGCTGTCTTACTTCTTTTGGCCAAGTCGCACTCCACATTAGGGTTTGTCTATCAGGCTGAATTATTTGGGGAGAAATTTAGAGCATGCTCTTAAGTGTAAATTTAGAATTGAGTGAAAAAGTAATAATGGCTTACTCTTATCTGATCCACAATCTTCCTTATTTGGGGTTCAAAACCCATATCAAGCATTCTATCTGCTTCATCAAGGACAAGGTAAGTTGTTCTTCTCAGATTGGTTTTCCCACACTCTAAAAAGTCAATCAGTCTTCCAGGTGTTGCAATACAGATTTCCACACCTTCAATTAAACACACAAATTTAATTATAATACGCAGAACACTTTCAACTCTGTTAAGCGAATGCTAAGATAAACAGAGCCAGGCAATGGTGGCACATGCCTATAATCACAGCCTATCCACGAGGCTGAGATTTAAGGAACATGATTTGAAACTATCTATGGTTTATAGCTACCTATCTTACAGCAAAATATCTGACATCATAAGATTCTCAGTTTTAGCACCAAAAAAAATTAAAAAAAAAAAGGAAAACTGTAATATTTTTATTAATGACAAACAGAACCTTTTATACCACATACCTCTCTCCAAATCACGTATTTGTGGTCCCTTGGGAGCACCACCATAGATGCAAGTAGACTTTAAACGACAAGCTCTACAGTATTCAGCAGCTACTTGTTGCACCTGCTGGGCCAGTTCTCGAGTTGGTGCCAGCACCAAACACTGCAAAAAAGAACAGCCTTTCATATACACTTGAAAACAAGTACTTCCCCCCAACTCTTCCATGCGTATGTGTTGGCAATTGAACCTAGTTACTTATATCAACAGATTTTTTCAATTATACAAAACCCAGAGCAGCTCCAGGTTAAGAGTGAAAACATTAATCTCTACATAAAAGCACCATCAACAATTACATGTTTTGCTGTGTATTCTAAAAATTCTTAAAAACATACTTACAATAGGCCCATCACCTCTTTCTAGGAATGGCTGATGATTGATGTGAACGATGGCAGGCAGCAAATACTATTGGGAAGGAAGTGGATCAAACAGAAGTTATTAGAATGAATGCTCATGATTAAGTTTAATCCCCATTTCATCTTCCCCTAGCTTTCATCACTCAGGAACCACAGAGTTCTCCAAACTTACAGACAACGTCTTCCCAGATCCAGTCTGTGCTACTCCAACCATGTCCAATCCACTAAGAGCAACTGGCCATCCCTGAGCTTGAATAGCAGTGGGTTCAGTAAAGTTCTGCCTTGCAATCACATCCATGACATTTGCTGTAATAATTAACAGTTTCCGTGAGTACTTGCAATGCCAAGAAAGAAGCGAACAGATGAATGAGGGTGGAATTGCAAATCAGCACTTACCAGGGAAATTTGCTTCATAGAAATTCAGAACTGGTTTTGGACAGTTATGACCTCTCACTGTAACTTCCTTGCTTCTTCTGTATGTCTCTACCTCTTGCTGCAAAACAATTGTTTTATATATGCACTGTCTGCACAGGGCACAAGAGCACATGATTACACCCTGGCAACCCCGGTATATTCTGAAAGTGGCCTTCCTTTTTTTTTTTTTTTAACCTAGATCCACATATAAGAATCCCATGTACACAATTATTTCACATAAAGTCAAGCACTGTTTGGAGAATAAAAATTTTCCTAAAAGTTACTGAAGCCACATGAAATTACTCACTGCTGTGCGCCTAGCCAAATCAGGATGTTCTTGATAAAAATTCTTCTCAAATTTGGGGAGCTCATCAAGGTTCCACTTCTTTTTAACTAGTTTCTCCCCAGGATTTCCAAACTTCTTTCCAGATAGGGGTCCTGCCCTACTCCCTCCAAATCGAGGTGCACCAAACCTGAAACAGGGAAAAAAATCATTCCCATTTAAAATGTTGACTACTATTATGTTCTTGGTGATGCTGGAGTTTAAACTCAAGTCCCCATGCTTGCTAGGCAGGTTGGCTGGACTACCAACTCAATCACAAGGACAGCCTTCTTGTCTGACCCAGGCTAAAGAGGGCTTCTGAAAACACACAACACAATCTCCAGTCACAGTCACTACTCCCTTGACGGGCCCCGACTGGCATCCCCCATCCATTTCCCGCAGTCCCAGGCACGGATCCTGGAGGCCAAGCCAACAGCCCCGGATTTATCAGGGCGGAAACTGGCGGCCCAAACGCCCCAAGTTCAGATTACCAGGATAGACAACAGCTTGCCACTATTAACATCGTCTTTCCCAGCAGCTTAGGATTTAAGTAACCGAGGGAAGGACGCAGGGAGGAGCCTGCCGACGACCGCGTTATTTGTGTGTTTACGCTGCTTTTCCAGCAAAGGAGCTCTCGCGTTGGCGAATGGCAGGGACCGCACGGGGGGGAGGGGGGGCGGCCGAGCGAGGGGCACGTTCCCGGGGGTGGGGTGGGGTGGGGTGGCGGAGGGAACCCACCGGCCGGTAACCGGAGGCGGCTGGGGATGTCCCGCGGAAGAGCTCGCCAGCAAGGTAACACAAATTATATAACGTGAGGAAGAGAGCGGAGGAAAGGAAAAAAAAAAACCCCAGCCGGCCGGGGAGGCGGCGACTGCCGGGGGAGGAGCCGGGGCCGGGCGGAGCCGGCCGGGCGGCGTTCCCGCTGGGGCGGCGCTTCCCCCTTTGTCTCGCATTTCTCTCTGCGCCACATTTTCTCGGCGCTGCCATTTTGAGCTCCTCCGCCGGGCGGGGTAACAAAGGCGCCGCCGCCATGTCCGAGGCCGGCATTTTGTGGCCGCGACTCTACCCGCAGGCCGATGCCGCCGGCGCCGGGCCCCGCGCCCTGCCTTCCCACCGGCCGCTCGGCAAGCGGCTCCCCGGCCCGCCGCCCGACAACCCGGAGCCCCCCCCCCCCCAAACGCCTCCCGGGCCCCCGAGGGCTGCGCCCCCCGGCTCCCCACCCGCCGCCGCCAACGGCGGCGCCTCCGCCCGCCCGCCCTCGCCATACGCTCCCCCCTCCCGGCTCCCCCCGCCCCTCCCCCGCAACGGCCGCTGGCTCGCCGAGGCCTCGACGGCGCCGACGAAACGCGAGCTCCGGGAACCCCCCCCCCCCCGCCGCCGCGGGCAGGGCTCTTCGAAATACCGCAAAGCCTTCTCGGAAGAGGCCCCGGGAGAACACGCCAGGGCCCGATTCCCGCAGGCGCCGCCGCCGCCGCCGCCTCCCCCCTCCCCGCCGCCCTCCCCTCCCCCACCCCGGCGCTGACAGGTCCGTTCCCACACTCACCCTCGATCCCGGCCGCGGTCCCGGTCACTCGAATAACTCGACATGGCGTCAATGGTTGCGGTTGGCGGGGCACTAAGTGAAGAGAATCAGGCGCGACGAGTCGCTGGGAGCGGCGACGACGACGAAGCCTCTGCGGGGGCGGCAGCGGCGGAGGGACGGCGATGACAAGAGCCGGAGCTGCGCGACCTGAGGCCGATGGAAATGAATGAGGTGCCGGCCGCGTCCCGGCAGCCGGTTTTATAGTCTGGACCGCCTCCCCGCCGCAAAGCACGCTGGGAGCCGCTCTATGACCTAATCGCCCCGCCCCCCCCTGCGCAGAGGCCGCAACGCCCGCTGGCGTTCGGGAGTCCGCCATGTTCTCGCCCCTCCCCGCCCTCCCGGGCCGCTCCCTGCCCGGGGCCGGCTTTTCATCCCTGGCTCGCCTCGGCCCGTCTGTCACTGAGATGCGTCCTCCCCGCACTCTCTGGCCTTCACGTCCTTCCAGTCTCTCCACACCTCAAGGAAGCTACCTTGCCCTTTTCCGGGCCCAGCTAGGCCATAAAATGGCCAGCACAGGCAGGCCCGCTCGGCCCACTATGGAAATGTTTACGTCTCCGCAGAGCCCCCACGCCCATCACCAAATGAGGTGGGGAGGCGGAGCTTGGTATTGTCACGTGGCCGCCCCCCTCCCCGACACACACACACACACACACACACACACACACACACACACACACACACACACACACGGGGCGAGCGGGCCGCGCTACTTGGCAGCGGCGGAGGAATACACAACGACGTAGCTCACCGGAAGTGCGGTTCTAATGCCCTCCCCCCCTCCCCAGAGACCGGTCGGGCTGCGGGGTGACCTAGACTGCTCAGCCCGCCGCCCTGACCACCCATGAGTGGGCGCTTGCCCGCGGGGAAGGGTAGCTAGAGCCCGCAAACTGCCGCCTGGGCGCGTGCGGGCAAAGGAAGTGCTTCTCCGATGACCAATCAGCGGCGAGAAGCCGTTTTAACGTCCCTCCCTCTCTCCTCCCCTCCTTCCTCACTCCGGGCTGCGCGCCCCCTCCCGCCGGCGCGGGCTCTGCGCGGTGTGGCCCTTCCCGGACGCCGTCGTGCGCGCGCCCGCCCGCCCGCCGCCCAGTCCAGCGGCGATCTGTCTTCGGGAACATGGCCGGCTCCGAAGCTGGTGAGTCCCCATCCCGAAGCTGTGGTGTTGTGTGAGGACGGCGGTCGTCCCAAGTTTCCCGAAGGCCTCGGGCCGCCCTGAACTGCGAGTGGGGCCGCGGGAGAGGCTCGTGATGGGCCGGCGCCGTGGCAGTCGCGGGGGTCTGGCTCGGGGGCGTGGACGGGGGACCCGGGGGAGGCCGCCGGCACCTCCGCCCTCCGGCTGTCGGGACAGCCCCGGGACCGCCCGGGACTTGAACTCTGGGACGTGTGGCCGATGTGCCCCGGCCGTGGGGGGGGACGAGGCGGAACTCCCTCCATCTGGGCTGCTTTTTCGTTTCTTTTTTTGAGGCGTAGCCCTGTGAAGATGTGTGGCTACCCCTGCCAGACAAGGAAAGTCAGGCCTCGCCCCCCCCCCCCCCCCCGGGCCTTGTAGAATTACCGACGTTGTCTAACCCCGCTTTTGACCAGTGAGTTGCTTGGGTTGTCTAGGACGCTTCCATCCTTCTCTCCAGGACAACATGCAAGTAGTTAAAAAAAAAATACCACCACCACCACCAACAACAAAAAAAACGGTCGTCAGTGTGGTCAGGCGTGAAAATGGCCCTGGGACGGGGATGGGGGATACACACCCCTATTGGGTAGCAGAACGTCCGCCTCTGGGTTACGCGCCGGCAATGTTTCTGACACTCGCGTCCGAGCTTTTTAATCGACCGCCCATTTCCGGAAACAAGTGTTTGTTATTTTATAGGTTATCTTTAGTCGAGAAACCCTTAATTGAGGTAATCCCTGCACGCCCTGGCCGAGGGTTAGATGTGTGGTAGTCGATGGGAAACTTCGTTTTCGGTAATGTGGTGGTACTGAGCTTTAGAGGGTTTTTTTTTGTTTTGGGGGTTTGACATGTATTTCCCATGTTTTTGTATGCATCAAATATAATCTTAAAAAACTAACAAATGCATAAGTGTGGGTGTTGTCATTACTCTAGTTTTAAGCAACCTAAATTAATCACTACTTATTTGGACTCCGGAGAAATCCTGGCTTGCACAAGGTAATTGGGTAAAAACATGACTAACACTCTTGGGAATTCAAAGCCACCTCCACTGGAGAGAATCTGGGATTCTCATTTACAAATTGTCTTGTTTATGACATATTTGGTTTTTTTTTTTGGTCGGTTGTGGGGCTTGAACTCTGGGCCTGGGTGCTGCCCAGCAGCTCTTCAGGTAGCACTCTACCACTTGAACCACAATGCCACTCCGGTTTTCTGGTGGCTTATTGGAGATAAGAGTCTCATGGACTTTTCTTGCCCTGGCTAGCTTTGAACCGTGATCCTCAGATCTCAGTCTCCTGAGTAGCTAGGATTATAGGTGCCCCCCAAGTTGTCATTTATAGTTTTGACTACATTAAGATAATAGCAGCATAGAAGACATTTAAAGAAAATAAATATTTCAGAAATCTTGCCTTGCAGAGTCCACACTCTATAACAGTCAAATTCCTTATCTTGTTCATTGTTTTTGTGGGGCCATGCTAGTTTTTTAAATATGTGTATAACTTTCGAGTGCTACTGAAAATTGATTTCTTTTCCCCAACAGAGTGGGTAACCATTGCCAATAACCTTCTTTTTAAATGTCACATACACCTAAGGATACACAAACTTGAAGATTGTGATGCTAATGTATTTATTGCTCTTTATCAATCCATCCTGGGAGAAAAGGTACCAGGTAAGGGTAATTCTGTCTGTATCTAGTGCTTTAGATCCTTTGGTATTTGTGAAATTTTATTGTCTCTTTCTACATCGTATTTCTGCAACAAATACGGCATTCATTGCCTTAATAATTACCTTATGGAATCCATAATAATAGCCTTGATCGACTCACTTTGCTAGTTCTTGGTAATCCCTAATTCAGTCATGCTGAAAATGCCTTCAAGGTAAAGGTAAATACATCTTGAAAGTTTCTAAAAGCTAGAATTGGATGTTTTTTTTCTTTTCCTTTTTGTGCTGGTCGTAGGGCTTGAACTCGGGGCTTGTGCTCAGGTTAGTGCTATACTATTTGAGCCACAGCTCCACTTCTGCACTATTTTTTTTGTTTTGATTAATTGGAGATAAGAATCGCAGATTTTCTTGCCCAGGCTGTCTTGGAATTGCAGTTCTCAGATCTCAACCTCCTGAGTGTCTAGGTCAGGTGTGAGCCACCAGCACCAAGCTTCTAGTTGGTACTTCTGATGCTCATCTCAGTTCTCTCCAGGGCTCATTCTCTTCAATACCAGTGAGAAATTCCAAAGTTCACTTGATCCTACAATCCACATTCTAGTCTGTACTGACTTTTTAGACCTTTGTGCCAGTTATTTCCAGTAGGCTGTTTTATCAGTACATATAAGAGCCTTCCTTAAACTAGCTGGATTCCATCGTGGACAGACACCCACAGAGGTTAAAGTCTTTGCCTCATATCTTGCCTTTTGTTTTTTGAGACAGTGTTTTGTGGTATTGCCCAGGCTGCTGTCAAGTCTGGGATCCTCCTGCCTCATCCTCTTAAATGCTGCGATTACAGGCATTGTGCCCCAAGCCAGGCATGGCTTCCTTATTGGGCTATTAACATCTCTTTGGATTTAGGGACCCCTGCATCTTCCTTTATATATGTTCGTACTATTACTGAGTATAATAAATATCAAACCAATGTAGACTATTGGAAAATAACTTTAATCAATAAATACCCAGCCAGTAATGATTTTTCTGTGTAGAACTTAGGCTCCGTTTACTTTCCCTGTACTGTGTTCTGTGTGCTTAGTCAGTGCTTGTGTCTGTAGCAATTGACTTCACTCAGAAGGTTGGTCATAGACAAAACTTCACCACTCATAGATGCAAAGTAATGTGACTTTCCCCCCATAGACCTCATAGCTATTCCCAAAAGTCAAGAGGATGATGCCCACAATGTACAAGCTGTGATTGATTCTCTGGCATTGGATTACCTTCAGGTCAGCTTGTCTCACATAACAGGTTAGTATCTATTTTATCACCAGGTCATTCTACAGTTTTATTAATAACCTAAGATATAACTTAGACATTTAATTGACCAAATTAGGAAACTTATGGAATAGAAAAACTATTAAGAATGAGCTTCAGGGTCACCATCTCTGAAATACTCAGTAGGAGAAAACTGTGGTATACGTAGACTATATTACACCTCATTGAACAAAGGTAGAAAGAATGTACATACAATTAATTGCATTCAGAATGATTTTGTAGATGAATATGTAAGGAAATCATGTAACCAGTCATACGGATTGCCTCCAGCAAAAGGAACTTTGGAAAAGGGGCAAGAATTTCCATTGTATTCCTTTTGTACTTCTTGAATTTTGAACCATTTTATCTATTTTTTAAAATGTGGATTTTTTTTTTGTTTTGTTTTTTGGTTGTGGAACTTGAACTCTGGGCCTGGGCACTGTCCCTGAGCTCTTCAGCTCCAGGCTAGCACTCTACCACTTGAACCACAGTGCCACTTGTGGTTTTCTAGTGGTTAATTGGAGATAAGAGTCCCATGGACTTTCCTACCCAGGCTGGCTTTGAATCATGATCCTAAGATCTCAGCTTCCTGAGTAGCTAGGACTATAGGCATGAGCCACTGGTGCCCGGCTCAAAAAAATGTTTTTAATATAAACTCCTTTGGAAGTTTTTTCCAAAACAAAATATACTATACTGTATTCCAAAACATACCAATATATATGACAAAAGCAAATATTCTTTTATATTGGAGTTCAATTCTAGATAAGCACATATGCCAAACCAGTTTGCAGATCATTGATTTTGAAAACAAATTCTAGACTTTCCCTCTTCTTCCAACCCAGTGGACTTGCTTTTATCACCTGAATAGGACAGCATCTTAGTATTTGTGATTTAAAACATACTGTAACAACTTTATAAAAGTACATGTTTTTAGAACATTTTATTGTAGAGGTCCCACCGACAAATTACACTCAGCCCATGAAAAAATGACAAAACTTCTTACCTCCACCAGTAGACTGCGGAGCAGCTTTCTCTTGCTTAAGCCCCGTTGAAAGCAGTTTCTCCTGCACTGTGAAGCACTACACTCTGGCCACAGTCTAGTTGCTAGGTTAGCAAGTGTATACTCCCCATCCTGGAAACTCAGACATCCTCAATAAGCCCTGGGGTATACTTTAGTTTTTTTAAGCCAGAAAAAAAAAAAAAAAAATCTTGAAAACAAGATTTCTGGTTCATTATTTTAAATGGAAACAAACTTTTCAAAATATTTATCTATCATTACTAGTGGGAATGCAAAACATCAGATTTCCAGTTTGGGCTTCTTTTGTTTTTGATTTTTTTGTATATCATGGCTCAAATTGAATGGCTAGATTCAAATATCAAATTTCTCCTCTGTTGCTCCTGTATTGCTTTGAACTCATGAGACCGCCAGGCATGATTTTAGGATAAAGAATGCATTAAGAGTTAAATGCAAGCCAGCATGGTAGCTCATGCCTGTAATCCTAGACTCAGGAGGCTGAGATCTGAGGATCACAGTTCGAAGCCAACCCGGGCAGGAAAGTCTGTGAGACTCTTATCTCCAGCTAACCACCAGGAAACTGGAAGTGGTGCTGTGGCTCAAGTGGTAGAGTGCTAGCCGTTAGCTGAAGAGCTGAGTGCACTCAGGCCCAGAGTTTAAGCCCCACCATCGGCAAAAAAAAAAAAAAGTTAAATGCAGTCCACATGTAGATGTTATTGGAGTCTATTTGAGGTGATATGATATGAAGCATGTCAAGTTTACATAGGTCAATCCATTTCTATTCAACATTTTAACTTCACATTAGTTGATCATCTATTATGGGCCAGGTGGAATGTTAGGGAATTTATATTAAAGTCTGGGAAAGATGAGAAGAGAGTAAGATATTAAAGGGTTATATATGGGAATGGCTCAAGTTGTGTAGAACTCAAGTATGAGGCCCTGGATTCAATCCCCAGAATCACAAGCGATTACAGAAAAACCTCAAGGGGTTATCTATGCAGAGCTTGGATTATAACAATGGAACCAGGGCGGAGGTTTTAATCAGAAAAATGGTTTATACAATGTGAGTAGGAGTTAATAAATGTGGGGAGCGGGGACAGGAATCCCTGATGACAAGTTGCTTGTTTTGGTATTACTCCACTGCTGCTTTCTCTTGAACAAATCGCCCTGCAGAAGTAGCATTCCACAGTCTGTAACTGCGTCCATGTGCTGTGTTTTTCACCAGCCTGTATAAAGTTCTGCCTTGCCATTTTATGTTTGAGAGTCTTACTAGAAAGTGTTTTCTATGTCCAGATATTTTGCTTCTTGTGAAAAGGAAGAAATGTATCTGTGAATTATTTAACACCATATTTAAGTCCTCCCCCAATTTTTCAGATATAATGAAGCAGCAGGAAACTGATTTTTAATAGTCATAATTTTCTCCTGGTAATTTTATAATCCTGTCTTTGTACAACATTTTCACAGTGTTAAACCATTTTAAGATTATGAGACTTTCATATTTTTTGGTTAAAAATGTTTAATAGCTTTGTATTTTGTATTCAGGAGAAAACATAGTGAAAGGAGATAAAGAATCTATCAAGAATCTCCTAGAAATATTTGATGGCTTGCTGGAGTATCTTACCGAACACATCAGTGAAGCATCTCAAAAAAGTAAGTTTAAGAATGGAGACTGTAGGATTGTAGTGAAGATGGAGTTTCTTGGTCTTTTCTGCCCAGGCTGCCTTTGAACTGTGATCCTCAGGTTTTAGCCTCTAGAGTAGCCAGGATTACAGTTGGGATCCACCGTTGCCTGGCCTGATAGCAGCAGTTTTTACATATTAGTGCTTGGCTGCAGAGAGGGGTGGGATGGTAGTCCTCCTCTGTCCCCATTGGCAGGCTGATGATAGGGCTGATGCAGGCTGGAGGGAGGAAGACAGAACTGAGATACTTTTCATGTGAGTCCGCTGGGGGAAGATGGTGTGCCGTGCTAACCTGAGGCTGTTCTGGAAGAGGGTTGCTTCCATGAGCCTCCTCTGTGACTGGTGGGGAACCTTTATCCTGTCAAGGGCCAATTTGAAGTATGTATTTTTATATACATATTTATGTGTGTATAATTTGTAAGCCATACAAAAATGATGAATTCAGGCAGACAGCCTCAGGCAAGCATATGAGTCAATCCTGTCACGCACCAAACGACTTTGGCCTTTGGGCCAGATGTTCTCCACCCTGCTCTGCGATACCTTCATTGGACATTTCATAAGGTCTAATTATCATGTAATGGAGGTTCAAAAGATACTTATTTAGCAGCATTCAAGCTGACATGATTCTTCATTGGGAAACAAATCTTTTACAGTTCATCACACTAGCTGTATAGGACAGCTTTTCCTGAGACCTAGGCTAGCATTATCATTTGCCACTAAAGAGTAAGGACTTTGAAGGCAGGGCTGCTTTTCACAGTGTAATACTGAAGCTCTCTAAGCCCATTTCCTTATCTGAAGGTTTTGAAGAGGAAGTGGATAGGTATAAATAGCCCAGAGCCTAACCCAAAGAAAATGCACAATCATTGTTAACGAATGTTATTGAAATGTTGCTTGATGGAAAGCAAAACAGAAAAAACCGTGCAGGTGATGTCTGAACAGGAATGTGTAGAAATAGGAATGGAACTAGTGGGGAAAATACAAATCATAAGGGCTTTCTCCCATATTATCTCCTGAAATCACTGCTTGAGGGAATCTGTTCCTAGTGAAAATGTGTATTTCTAGGTATTTGGGGGTTAGAAAAAACAGATTGATGGTCTAAAAGAAAACATCCAAGCCATAATGCAGTCGGACTCTTAGTCAAAGCTATGATTGTTTTGGAGTAAGTGGACACAATCATGTTTTTCTGCCTTTGTGGTTGGTTACCTCACACATCCCTTACAGGTGTAGAGCTATAAACAGTAAGTGAATGTACCACCTAGCTTCAGAAATCAAGCACTGCTTATGCGTTTATAGACTTGTGGTTCTTAGTACCTGCTGTTCTTAACTTCTCGCATCATGGATAGCTAAATAAGTAAATAAAAATGTTACTCACTTAGGCAGTTTGGATATTATTTTTAATCTGTCCTAAACAGGTGAAACGGAACAATATTTTAAAGAACCCCATCAAGGAGAACATATGGAAGAGCTAGAAAGTTCTATGGAATCTAAATTACCATGGAAAAGAGTTGCTGTTGGAAGGTAGTACATAATGTCCATGAATTTCATCAAAGCAAGTTATGCTCTCACTTGGCTTGGTTGTGCACACTTAATAATTCTCGTACTTAGGAGGCTGAGGCAGGATGATCAACAGTGTTGAGCTGAGTTCTAAGCCAACCAGATCCTGTCTCAAAAAAGAAACAGAACAGGGCTTAGAGCTATGGCTCAGTTGGTAGAGTTCTATCCCATGAATGAAAGCATCAGGTACCAAGTTTGAGTCCTAGTCTCAGATCTAAACAAAAAAAAGAAGAAGAAAAGAAACAACAAAAACCTGGAATTTAAAGTTGCACTGAAAATACTCAGAAGGATATTTTGCTAATGTGAATAGTTCACTTCTATTTTATACCTACCCATTCTTTTTTTTTATTTGAAATTACCAACTCATTTTTAATTTCCCCTTGATCAGAATAGTTTATCTTCCCTAAATAAAACTTAGAAAGTTTTTCCTTTTAAAAAGAAGAAACGCAATAGCTAGGATATGGAAACAACCTAGGTGCCCCACCACAGATGAATGGATCCAAAAATTGTGGTATCTATACACAATGGAATATTATGTAGCCATTAGAAATGACAAAATAATGGCATTTGCAGGGAAATGGATGGAGCTAGAAGGAATCATGTTGAGCGAGGTAAGCCAAGAACGAAGAGACAAACGGTACATGGTCTCCCTGATAAGTGGATGCTAAATCCAAAAGGTTAGGTGATACGACAAAACTAACAGGACTTAAGAAACAAAGAACTCCCGCTCATCTGGTTGAACCACTACTAAATATCCCCATGTTGCTGATCACAAACATGGTATATAACATGTGAACACTGTTATATATTACAGACTGTGGTAGACAATTTGCTCCAGGGAAGTTAGAATGAACTTGTGACTTTGAAATTATGTAATCATTTAATCACAATCAAAAAAAAAAGAACCTCGGGGAAGGGAGGGAGGGAGGGGATGGTAGGGGGAAAACAATGGAGGGGGTAACAATGTTCAAGAGGAAGTGTACTCATTACCTCACTCATATAACTGTAACCCTCTGTATAGTAGCTTTACAATAAAATAAAAAAATAAATAAAAATAAATATCCCCATGCTGCTGATCACAAATATGGTATATAACATGTGAACACTGTTATATATTACAGACTGTGGTAGACAATTTGCTCCAGGGAAGTTAGAATGAACTTGTGACTTTGAAATTATGTAATCATTTAATCACAATCAAAAAAAAAAAAAAAAGAACCTTGGGGAAGGGAGGGAGGGAGGGGATGGTAGGGGGAAAAAAAATAAAAAAAAAAATAAAAAGAAGAAAAATATGAGATCTACCATTGAAAATTAAATACTACTACTGTGATAACATCACTTTTAACTGTGTGTGTGTGTGCGCGTGCGTGTGCACGCGTGCGTGCCAGTTTTGGGCATATACTCAGGGCCTGGACTCTGTCCCTTAGCTCTTTTTTTTTTTTTGGGTCCAGTCATGGTACCTGAACTCTGGGCCTGGGCGCTGTCCCTCAGCTCTTCAGCTCAAGGCTAGCGCTCTACCACTTGAGCCACAGCTCCACTTCCGGCTTTTTTTTCTTTTTGCTTATGTGGTGCTGAGGAATCGAACCCAGGGCCTCTTGCATGCAAGGCAAGTGCTCTACCACTGAGCCACCTTCCCGGCCCTCTTTTTTTTTTTTTTGCCAGTCCTAAGGCTTGAACTCAGGGCCTGGCACTGTCCCTAAGCTTTTGTTCAATACCACTTTGATCCACTTCTGGCGTTTTCTGTTTATGTGGCACTGAGGAACTGAAATCAGGGCTTCATGCATGTTAGACAAGCACTCTACCACTAAGCTGCATTTTCAGCCCTGTCCCTGAGCTCTTTTACTCAAGGCTGGTGCTCCATCTTGAGTTCAAAAGTAAAACATTTCAAAGATACTTCTAGAGTTAATGCCTTACCCAGAGCCCCTTCCACTCTCGCAGTCTTAGGCTTCCCAGTATGCTGTCTGATATGTGTTCAGTTTCTTCTTTGACAGTCTGTATATAGCAAGGAACAAGAAGTGATAAGCAACAGAAGGGAGTTTTCAAAAGTTGGTTGTTTTTGTTTCTTGGGGTGGTGGTGCTGGTTGAATCCAGGGCCTTGTGCATGCTAAGCAATGTCTCTATCACTGAGTTACACCTCCAGACCCCAGTCCAGTTTTTTTTTTCAAGTGCTAGGCAGAAAGCCTATGGCCTTATATATGCTAGACAAGCTCTGGACCCCTGATGCACATCCCCAGCCCTAGTCTCCAGGTCTGTAGTAGTGGCTGGCTAAAGCAACACTGGGTGCTCATAGCAAGTGTCTTTCATGGTCAAACTGGACTCTGAGAACAGACCTCTTGCAGGTATTCCCTCCCATCTGACAAGTTGGGCCCCAGTTGGGATGGAGATGAAGCCGAATCTACTGGTGAAATAATTAGACTTGGAGAAACAGCACATACCTTTACTCTAAGAAGCAATGGTGAGTGATTAATTGTCAGCATTATTCAACATACCACTATACAAATGTAAAGCCTGGGCTGGGAAGGTGGCTTGGTGGTAGAGTGCTTGCCTTGCATGCATGATGCCCTATGTTTGATTACTCAGCACTTTCATAAGCAGAACAAGCCAGAAGTGGTGCTGTGGATCAAGTAGTAGAGCACTTGCCTTGAGCTGAAGAGCTGAGGGACAGCGCCCAGGCCCAGGGTTCAATCCCCATGACTGGCCAAAAAAAAAACAAAAAAAGTAAAACCTGGCACAGTGATGCACAACTGTAATCTCAGCTCCTTGGAAAACTAAGATCAGGAAGACTGTGGCTTGAGGGAAGCCTGGGCAAACATCTCAAGAAGGACCTGAGTGTGCTATTACTTGCCTATGGTCTGACCTAGATGAAAGGACAGATCAAGGTCCTGGCTAGCCCAGGGCAAAAATGTGAGCGCCTGCATAAATGTTAACCTTAAAAGCAAAAGAGATTTGAGACACGGCTCAAGTGGCAGTGTGCTTACTTAGCAACATAAGGCCCTCAGTTCAAACTCCTAATACCACACGTACACACACACAAATAATGAAGTCTTCAAATAATGGAGACTTCATTATTTGTGTCAGGCATCAATAACTCATACTTCCAATCTTTGCCATTCAGGATGCTGAGACCTGGCAATTGAAATTCAAAGCCAACCTGGGCAGGACAGTCCCTGAGACTTTTTTTTTTTTTTTTTTGCCAGTCATGGGGTCTGAACTCTGGGCCTGGGCACTGTCCCTCAGCTCTTCAGCTCAAGGCTAGTGCTATACCACTTGAGCCACAGTGCCACTTCCAGCTTTTTTCTTTCTGCTTATGTGGTGCTGAGGAATTGAATGCAGGGCCTCGTGCATGCAAGGCAAACACTCTACCACTGAGCCACCTTCCCAGCCCAATGAGACTCTTTATTATAATTAACCACCAAAAAGTCAGACATAAAACTGTGGCTCAAGGCTGGAAGGTGGATCAGTGGTAGCATGTTTGCCTAGCATCCATGAAGCCCTGGGTTCAATTCCTCTGTACCACATAAATAGAAAAAGCTGGAAGTGCTGCTGTGGTTCAAGTGGTAGAGTGCTAGCCTTGAGCAAAAGAAGCTCAGGGATAGTGCCCAGGCCTTGTGTGGCAAAAATACACAAAAACTGTAGCTCAAGTGATAGAGCACTAGCTTGAGGGAAAGAGTTAAAAGAGAGGACCTAGTTCTTGTTCCAAGACCCAGCAAAAAAAAGATTGAGATGAAGAGAGCCCTAACTAGCCGTCAGTGTTGAATTCCAGACTACCATCATTACCCACTAAATATGAACAGATACCTGAAGTCACAGGCAATTCAGAGTCACAGGCATGAGCAAGTAAGTCCAAATCAAGTAAGTGGGTGCAAATTGTCATGTGTGACTGGATGTCACAGCAAGAGAATTCTGGGTACACCTTTACAGTCTGGTCATGCTTTCATAGTAGCATTATTCCTGAATGGGTTTGCTTTTTCTTTTTTGTTTAAGTTTTAGCAAGGATTTAGTTTAGCGTAACAGGTTAAAGTAGAAAGAAATCAAAACAAACATTTTGTGCTCCCAATGCAGGAAATGGGAATTAAAGACTGTTGACTCCATTTTTTTAAAAAATCATTTTAAGAAGTTCATACTCCCAGTGGCAATTTTCCCCCTTTGCTTTTTAGGCATATTTTCTTGAGAAGCAGATTTTTTTACAAAATTAACATCAGGGAAACAGCAGATCACAGAATGAGTTAAGTACAACTTAGGACTCGGGACCGAGAACAACTCAGTGTCACCTGAGCTGTGTAATAAGTGCATAGGGATTTAAAAGTCATGTTTCTGAAGTTTCTTTTGATTTTTAAAAATGTATTATTAGCAGGGCTCTGGTGGCTCACGCCTATAATCCTAACTACTCAGGAGGCTGAGATCTAAGGATCATGGTTCAAAGCCATTCCAGGCAGGAAAGCCCATGAGACTTTTATCTCCAATTAACCACCAAAAAGCTGGATTTAGAACTGTGGTTCAAGTGATAGAGCACTAGTCTTGAGCAAAAAAACTCAAGGACAGTGCCTAGGCCCTAAGGTCAAGCCCCAAAACCGGCACCAAAGGAAAAGAAAAAAAATACCTTCATACTTTATACTAACATGTATATGACATATCAGTGACTTGTGTCCCCTCCCCAGTTGTGTCATATACATATGCAGATAGCCCCAAAGGCCAACATTTGGTGTCCTAAACATTTTAAATGTGAGATATTCAGCCTGTTACTGGTTTTCAGTAGAGGGGCTGGGAAGGTGGCTCAGTGGTAGAGTGCTTGCCTTGCATGCATGAGACCCTGGGTTCGATTTCTCAGCACCACATAAGCAGAAAAAGCTGTAAGTGGTGCTGTGGCTCAAGTGGTAGAGCACTAGCCTTGAGCTGAAGAGCTGAGGGACAGTGCCCAGGCCCAGAGTTCAGGCACCATGACTGGCAAAAAAAAAACATTAAAAGTAGAGATGGCATTATTTGATGCAATTAAGACAAAAAGGAAAGGCCGAGTGGCTGTGAGAGGCTTGCATCCGTTTGGACAGAAGGGATTATTTTAGCTTCCTTTTCTATTCAGATTAAGATGTCTGATACTGTCATATACATTCACAGAATTTAGACACCATATTCTAGATTCTTAATTCTTCTATTGTAGTGTTAGCCACAACCTCTAACTCAGACAATCTCTTCATAAGAAATGCCTACACCACAGTCAGCATTTCTACAACACTGAAACCTGTTTTTCTAAGCTTTATTTTTTTTTTAATACGCTTGAACTCAAGGTCTGGGCACTGTTCCTGAGCCTCTCTGTGCTCAAGGCAAGTACTCTACTACTTGAGCCACAGCTCCACTTCTGGCTTTTTCTATGTATTTGGTACTGAGGAATGGAACTCAGGGCTTCATGCATGCTAGGAGAGCACTCTACCACTAAGCCACATTCCCAGCCCTTGCTTGGTTTACTTGTTCACAGCCAGGGATCTCCCACTTGATCCATGCCTCCATCCCTGCTTTTTTTTTTTTTTTTTTTTGTCGGTCATGGTGCTTGAACTCTGGGCCTGGGCGCTGTCCCTCAGCTCTTCAGCTCAAGGCGAGCGCTCTACCACTTGAGCTACAGCGCCACTTCCGGTTTTCTAGTGGTTTATTGGAGATAGGAGTCTCACGGTCTTTTCTGCCCGGGCTGGCTTTGAACCGCGATTCTCAGATCTCAGCCTCCTGAGTAGCTAGGATTACAGGCGTGAGCCACCGGCGCCCGGCTTTCCATCCCTGCTTTTATGCTGGTTAACTGGACATGGCTGTCTGTCCAGACTAGTTCATACCTTGATCCTACTCTCTAGAGTAGCCAGCATTATAAGTATGAGCCACCAGTGTGTCCTGCCTAGCAAACTATTCTGATATTTAAACCATTTACCTTTACTGTTTCTTTTCCTAGGTGCCCATATTTCTACTGACATGTCTAGAAAATCCTTGGCCTCACCAAGCTCTAGAAAATCCTTGGCTTCACCAAGTTTTAAGTCACATGATGGTGTGTTGAGCCCTCCCTCCTTTAGTTTTCTACCCAAGGACAAGACAGCCTTTGATGCAGACAGTGAGTAATGACGGAGTGTTAGTTCTGTAAGCTACTGCTCGGTGGGAGACAGTGTCTGGGATGTTGGCTGTTACGTTTAGCCTTTTGGATTTCTGTTGTGCTGTGCTTGATGCTATTCTTTTTGGTTTAAATAATCTTATTTGTAAATGTTTGTTCTGACTTCTGCCTCATGTGGTCTTTGGTTACATATTTGGGGTTTTTTGTTTTTGTTTTTGTTTTTTGGTTGTGGGGCTTGAACTCAGTGCCTAGGCACTTTCCCTAAAGCTTTTGTGGTTAAGGCTAGCACTCTACCACTTTGAGCCACAGTTCCACTTCTGGTTTTCTGATGGTTAATTGGAGATAAGAATCTCATGGCCAGCCGGGCGCCGGTGGCTCACACCTGTAATCCTAGCTACAGAGGAGGCTGAGATCTGAGGATCACGGTTCAAAGCCAGCCCAGGCAGAAAAGTCCGTGAGACTCTTTATCTCCAATTAACCACTAGAAAACCAGAAGTGGTGCGTGGCTGAAGCGGTAGAGCGCTCGCCTTGAGCTGAAGAGTGCAGAGACAGCGCCCAGGCCCAGAGTTCAAACCAAAAAAAAGAATCTCATGGCCTCCCCTGCCTAGGCTGGCTTTGAACCACAATCTTCAGATCTCAGCCTCTAGGTTTACAGGTGTGAATCACTGGCACCTGGCTGTGGTTACATGTTTTAGCATGCATTATTTTATTATCTTAGTCATCTTCTCTCAAAGACTTGTTTTAAGAACAGTAAGGCTTTCTTATATATTTTTGGATAGCAGCTAGTGATCCTCAATTAGTGAATGAGAAACTATAGTAACTTGAAAAATATTCTCATGCTTTGTCTGTCAAGATTCTTATATGTTGCATTACTGACAACGGCTTGCCAGTTTTCTAACTACTGGATGAGTCATGTTTTATAGTTGTTCTTCAAGCCATTAGATTGCTTTCAATTTTCCATTATTATATATAACTCAGGGAACATTCTTTTTTCTTTTTCTTTTTTTCTTTTTGTTGGTTGTGGGGCTTGAACTCTGGGCCTGGGCGCTGTCCCTCAGCATTTCAGCTCAAGGCAAGCGCTCTACCACTTGAGCCACAGCACCACTTCCGGTTTTCTATTGGTTTATTGGAGATAAGAGTCTCATGGAGTTTCCTGCCCCGGCTGGCTTTGAACTGTGATCCTCAGATCTCAGCCTCCTTAGTAGCTAGGATTACAGGCGGGAGCCACCAGGGCCTAGCTCTCAGGGAACATTCTTAGGATGAGAACATTAAAATGTCCCTCCTTGCTTGCCAAGGCTATTTTTGTTTGTACTTTGTTTGCATCAAGTTTAAAAAGGTTCCTGGATGGGAGATATTGCTGAGTGATAGAATGCTTTCCTAGGACACAAGGCCTAGGTTTTGATCCCCAGCACCACACACATACACACAGAATGTTTGTGTATATGGATATGGATGTGAAACGACCTAATTCCTAGAATTTCCTCATCACATCTACTTCTGTCTACTTTGTCTTACAGCAGACGCCTCTCCTGTGAGTACGATTCCCAGTGCTAGGAAGCTGGGGGAGCCTATCCGAGCAGCTATTCCTTTACATCCACCCTACCACCCTCCAGAGCCGCGAGCACCCTGCCCCATAGGAAGAGATTACCTTAGCCTAAGCTACTACTCTTCCCCTGTCACAAATTCTACTGGAGAGCGCACATTTCTTGTGGTGAGTGGGAAAACCTTGCTTGTAATTGGATAGTGTATGTGTTGCATTTATTTATTCTTTTTTGGTGTTGGTGACTGAACCAAGGGTCTTGTCCATGCTATGTGGCCTCTGAGCCTTGGAAGCCTCGACTGGAATAGTAGTCAGTAATACCACACTAATCAAAGCATTGTGCACCTTCAGATTTACCTCTGTTCACCTACATGTGCTTATCTTGGAAATACAGGGGCAGGGTAAGTGAGTACAGGAAGCCAGGACAGCTGGAGTGTGGATTTTTTGCCTGGCACAGTTCTACTACATACTTTAGACAGGTATCGAGTGATGGATTCCTCAAAACAGTTCTGGAATCATTTCAATATTTTCCATGGGGAAGCTGATGTGGCAAGGTTGCCTGATGTCTTTTCTGAGGTTGCACAACAACTTCGAATCACCATTTAAACGCAGGCACCTGGCTTCATAATCCATGTCATGTGTCCCTAGTTAAGTAACAACTTGTAAAAATATCAATGTGTGTGAAATAGAAAATAACCATCTGTCCATCCACATTCTCCCCATCTAGTGTGAAGCTCTGATTAATATCTTGTTTTCTTTTTACTTTCTTCTTGGGGGGAAAAACCCTCTTTTACATAGTCATTATGTCCACAGCTGTCTAGAAAGAACAGGCAGGTAGGTAAGTGCCAGGGTAAACTCATAAACAATGTTACATGCAAATAAAAGACTATGTGTGGTGTTGCTCACATAGCAGAATCAAGAATCAAAGCCAGCCAGAACCAAAAATACTGGCAAGACTATCTCTGCCAACAAGCTAGGAATGGTAGTACACAACTGTGGTCCAGCTTTATGGGTGGTATAGATAGGATCATGCTCTAAAGCCAGCCCCGGGCTAAAGTGTGAGACCCTATCTGAAAGGAAAATAAAAGAGTTGAAATCCTAGTATTGGGGGAGAAAAACGAAAAAGGAAACTGCAGAAAAAATACAGAGATGAGGGCTGGGAAAGTAGCTCAGTAGTAGAGTGCTTGCTTTGCATGCATGAGGCCCTGGGTTCGATTCTTCAGTACCACATAAGCAGAAAAAGCCAGAAGTGGCACTGTGACTCAAGTGGTAGAGCGCTAGCCTTGAGCTGAAGAGCTGAGGGGCAGCACCCAGGCCCAGAGTTCAGGCCCCACGACCAACAAAAACAAACAAACAGAGATGAGAGGTTATCATTGGCATTATGTGAGCAGCACTCAACGTATCTGTCAGGTAGGACATCAGATAAGAAGAGAGGGCACTGGTTACCTGGGAGGAGTCCGTGTGGGCTGCTGGCAGGCATCTGAGATGCTGGGAGGGGTCTGTTCCTCACCAGATTGCGGTGAGTAGGTGAACTCACTTTTCAGTTCCTTGAGCTGGACCGGTAGACTTCATTTTATATCTGCTATTTACTAAAAGTATTGAAGCAAAAGACACTAAAGTGATAGTGAAGATACCATTAAACATTAAATATACGTTCCATTACCAGAAGCAATATTTTTACAAGGATTCATCACAAAGGTTAGGGTTAGAGTCAGCAATAGTCTGCTTAGTGTGCTTATATCCCTGGGTGCAATCCCAGCACCAGAACAAAAGAAAACCCAGTCCTTCTCTGGTTAAGTTTTTGAAAATGTGTATATTTGGGAAGATTTCATCTTTTTTAAGTGTCTCAGTTTTGGAAACTTGCTGCTGACCTGTATACAAGAGATAAAATGATGCATATGTCCACTTGAGACCTGATCATTTCTTACCGACCAGTTTTGATCAACTGTAGCCTGCATTTCCTGTGTGACAGCCTCTCGTTTGCCTTTATATTAGAATGACACCCTGAGCCACACTTTTCCTCTGACCACAAGCAGGAAGACATTGCGCCAGTCCTTTGACATTGGGTGTCAGTATGATATTTTGTCAAACAAACACAAAGCCGGACATGGCAGCACATGCTTATAATCCCAGCACTTGGGAAGCTGAAGTGAGAGGATCAGCAGCCTGGGCAAGATAGCAAGACCTTGTATTTTAAAAAGACACACACACACACACACACACACACACACACACACACACACACACACACACACACACACACACACACACTAAAAAACCAAGACCTTGTATTTTAAAAAGACACACACACACACACACACACACACACACACACACACACACACACACACACACACACACACACACACACACAAAAACAAAAACAAAAACCACCTCAACATGGAGAATAAAGAGTCTGGCTTGGTGCCCCAGGACCTCCCTTCCCCATACTGAAAAGGGCTCAGTGAGTCTTCCTTCTAGCTTTTTCAAATAAACTGTATTGTCCTGTTGATAGGAACCCAAGGATGACGTTCTCTTAGCTTCAAAGTTGCCTAAACCTGGTGAACAGGAAACGTGTGCTGCTCAGGTCCAAAGCCCTAAGACAAGGAAATTTGCCAAGGGGAAAAGGTAACGTTGCTGTAGCATTCTTCTTTTCCAGTCTGTTTGAAAACTCCAATATGTGTAGAAGCAGCTATTAGTCATTTGGAACTAAGTAGTGGTTACTTTTGAACTATTAAAAGTTGGCTATTAAAAGTCACCTGGACACTTTTATTACAGAAATGAAAACAGAGTTGCAGCGTCCACACAGGATGTGCCGAGAAAGAGGTTAACAGAACAAGAACTACACACAGTATCACAGAAAGTGTCCCAACGGCTCTCTGAACTAGACCAGGCAAGTCTTGTTTTTAGTCTTTATTGAGACCCATTGCTTGTGGTTCACGAGGAGCTCAATGGGCACTAATGGAAGATGAATGGTTATGCTAGAAAGTGAGCTGGGTCCTTGTTAAAGTATTCCAGAAGTCAAGCAGATAGGACATGAACCTGTGTCATGTAAAACCTGCATGATGTAAATCAAATCATGTAACATATATGACTGTTAAATAATTAATCTTCAGATATATCTGTATCATTTCCCTTCATCACTAAGGAGATCTAACATAAAATCTGATAGGTCACTATTCTTACAAAATGTGGTAACGGTGAATGAATATATGAAATCCCTGTGAGACTTACTCCAAAGACTATTGAAATGAATAATCTACTGCACTGATACTCAACATGGTATTGCGCTTCTGTAATCTTAGCATTCGGGAGCCCAGCCAGGGAGATTTTGAGTATGAGGCCTGTCTTGGATACACAGACCTCATCTCAAAAAAATTAATTATATATATTATGTATTATATATTACACATATAACTATATATAACTATAACTATAACTATATATATATATATATATATATATATATAAACAGCTAAACTTGTATATGCATCTGAAAACTTAATAAAGGTCTGCTGTCTACTACCAGTTTACATTCTGCTAAAATCAATGAAAGATGTTGAAAGGAATTTTCCAACAGATGTTAAGAAATGCCCTGGGTGATCGAATTAAACACAAGCCTGACAGTGACGAAGATGGCATTGGGAAGGAAGAGGAGGGCAGCGGAAGCGAGGAGGAGGTCCTGTCGCAGCACAGTGATAGCATCATGGAGTATGGGCCAAAGAAGCCCCGGCCAGGTACTGACTTGAGAGGCCTGGGACGGGGCGCCCGGGGAAACTCACGTAATGACAAACCCACAGTTGGTATTGCTGCTTCTTACTAGATTTCATACTTCAATAACTTTTATATTGTCAAAATATTTTATGTTCTTTTAAAATTTGATAGATACTGAATATGTTATTCTTGACCTTGCTTTTTTTTGCATTAGCACAATGTTGGAAATCATTCTTTGTTGATTAGAGAGCCAGGTCACTTTAATTTCTTTGTATGTGAGTTCATAAAATGTGCCCTGTTGATACACCTGCATTACTGTTTGCTCTTTAAGAAAGAATCAGTACTGCTTAGAAAATGCTTAACCAGCCAGGCGCTTGGTGGCTCACGCCTATAATCCTAGCTACTCAGGAGGCTGAGATCTAAGGATCATGGTTCAAAGCCAGCCCGGACAAGAAAGTCTGTGAGACTTTTATCACCAATTAATCATCAGAAAACTGGAAGTGGTGCTGTGACTCAAGTGGTAGAGCACTAGCCTTTGAGCTGAAGAGCTCAAGGACAGCGCCCAGGCACAGAGTTCAAGCCCCACAACCAACCAAAAAAAAATCTTAACCATATTAACATTTGCTTGTACCTGATGCTTTATAAGTGTTTATAAAGTGTTTACATCCCTTCCTCAGGATATAGACAAGTCAAAAGATAGCAAACTCAGAGCTGGGATAATTCCCCTTTCTCCTTCCATCTCCCCACTCCTACCTCCAGGAGTACCTTCCTTAGGAATCTATTCGCAGCAAGCATTCTAACTGTTGTGGTCAGTCCAAACTTGGCTATACAACCTAAATATTTCTTTGAGTTAGTAAGCACTTTTAAGTGTTTTTTTCTGTTTACATGGTGTGACTAAATCTACAAACGCTAGGAGCACAGGGAGTGCATTCACTCATTATTCTCTTTGGATTTATCAAGAACCAACTATTTGATTTCCAGTGTGACATTTCCACTATCAGTACATGACTGTTCTGTCTGTATTGCAGGAATTTTTGTGCATAGAAAGCCACCTTACAGATCCCATTCTCTGTCTCCATCTCCAACCCATAAACCCAAACAGTTCCAGACTAACAGAAGAAGGCAGCTCAAGGCGAAAGGAGCAGATACCCGCCAGCTCCAAGCAAAGGTTCGTGCTCAGCCACCACTAGGCAGCACTAGGCAGTGTCCTTCCCTTCAGCCACATGCCACAGTGAGCACGCCAGTGGGGAAAGGTTTACATTTGGTATGCTTGATTAGAATGAATGGCAGAGAATTATGTGAAGTAACTTGTGTCCCCACTAGGGAACATAAAAATTAAACTCATGAAATTGTCAAGAAAATAACATGTGGCTGGGAATGTGGCTTAGTGGTAGAGTGCTTGCCTAGCATGCATGAAGCCCTGGGTTCGATTTTTCAGTACCACATAAACAGAAAAAGCGTAGTGTGCTAGCCTTGAGCAAACGAAGCTCAGGAACAGTGCCCAGGGGCTGAATTCAAGCCCCAGGACTGGCAAAAAAAAAAAAAAAAAGAACATGGATTAAGAAAGAAGCAGTGAAGCCAGGTGCCAGTGGCTCATGCCTGTAATCCTAACTACTCAGATTGAGTAGCTAGGAGGCTGAGATCTGAGGATCACAGTTTAAAGCCAGTCCAGACAGCAGTCCATGAGATTTTTGTTTTTTTTGGGTCTGGTCGTGGGGCCTGGACTCTGGGCCTGGGCGCTGTCCCTCAGCTCTTCAGCTCAAGGCTAACGCTCTACCACTTGAGCCACAGCGCCACTTCTGGCTTTTTTTTTTTATGCTTATGTGGTGCTGAGGAATCGAACCTAGGGCCTCAAGCATGCAAGGCAAGCACTCTACCACTGAGCCACCTTCCCAGCCCCGTCCAGGAGATTTTTATCTCCTGTTAATCACAAACACACACACACACAGAAAAGCTGGAAATGGAGTTCTGGCTCAAGTGATAGAGCACTAGCCTTGAGCAAATAAAGCTCAAAGACAGTGGCCAGGCCCTGAGCTCAAGTCCCAGGAATGGCACAAAAAAATAAAAATAAAAAGAGGAGGTGAGAGCTGAAGGGAACTGAGGTGCATTTGAGTAATAGGCCTCTTGAGTTAGAGATTGAGGAAGCACTCATTAGAAGAGGGGGTTGGCTCCAACAAGGCCACTGACACAGATTTCCTGCTGTTGCATGAATTTAGAACATTTGCTTGTTTGTTAGAGTATGTTTTACAATGGTTTTCCAGTGTATTTATAATAGTGAAAACTAACATTAATTCAGATGTTTTAGGATAGTTATATTTACGCAGTACTAACTTGAAATGTAACCTCCATTGGAAGAGTATCAAAATAATTACAGGGGCTAGGAACGTGACTTAGCGGTACAGTGTTTGCCTAGCATTCATAAGGCCCTGGGTTTGATTCCTCTGCACCATATAAACAAAAAAAGCCAAAAGTGGCGCTGTGGCTCAAGTGGTAGAGTGTTAGCCTTGAGCAAAAAAAGCTCAGGGACAATGCCCAGGCACTGAGTTCAAGCCCCAGGACTGGGAATAAATACATAAATAAATTACAAAACCAGTTAAGAACAAAAAAATGCATTGTATAAAATCTCACTTTATGTCCCAAGTACATATCTATTACAACAGTGTATTTATGATACAAACCCAAAAATAGACTTAAAAATGTCAATGAGCCTAACAGCTTAGGGATAATAGGATCCTAGGTGAACTTTTTCCTTGCTGTCTGTCCATACATTCCTAACTATGATATTATGTGACCTTTTCTTTTCTAGACATTAACGGACGCGTTTGAAAGAGTGCTAAGAAAAAATAAAGTTCAAGAGAATATCAGACCTCAGGGGATAAGTGAAGAGGAGGAGGAAACAGTGGGTAAAAGTCTCCACTGAAATAAATGCTACTTGACCAGACCATTGGAGAACACAGATATGTTCTTTTGTAAAGAAAAGAAAAAAGGACGGACAGGGCTTTCTTTAAACAGTAGCTCTTTAGCAAAAGGCAAGATTCCAAAGTTGGAGGCATAGTTGAGTGGTAAAGTACTTAATTTTCACGCCAAGGCCTGGGCAAGATAGATTAGATAGGTAGACAGATAAAGGAGACCCTGTTTTGAAGAAAATAACCAATGTAAAAGGGGCTCAAGCTATAGAGCTCCTGACTAGCAAGCAAGAGGTCTTGAGTTCAATTCCCAGTACCACCAAAAAAAGAAAAAGAAAAACCATAAAGATGGTTACAGATACTAAGAGAAAGCAGAAAGCTACTGCTAAAACATTAATGAACAGGTGCTAAAGTACAGTGTAGTTACAAATAAGCATACTGCAAAATTGCTTGAGAATTTGTTTAATCTACATAAAGTTTGCCAAAAAAGCAAGCACATCAAAACACAAGTAATGGCTGTATTTAGGGTGTGGGGCGATAGTGTCTGAAACTTGACAGCATGTTTTCATATCCCAGAGGAGGCCCTTCACTTAGGATAATGAACAGTAACCAGATTTTTAGAAATTCTAAGACTTTTGGCTAGGGATCAGTTAGCTACTTTTGTTCATACGTAATATTAAAGATCCTGTGAAAGAGTTGTTAACCTCTCTCTCTTACTCTGTTTTGTATCCGCTTCTAAGAAAAAAATATACAGAGAAGCTGTTCATAAAGGAATTCCAAAATATAGTCAGCCTTGGAAGATTTATGCCAGAAAAACCAAAGCTCAGAGTCCAAGACGTGGCTTCCCAAAGTCAAATAAAGCGACTCCAAGTAAGAGCCATAAAATTGTACTTTATGGAGAACTGGCAGCGTATGAAAGTGTGTACTGCCTTCCAAGGACAGCACTGAAAAGTAACCTCCACCAGTGAGCGCAGCAAGTTCTTTCTTTTATCCCTGCCTAGTTGCTGGTTTTCTTGGAGATAGTTGAACTGCTGAAACAGTCCACTGAAGGGAGGCCTGTACATTGATAGCGAAGCTCCAGCTTGAGCCAGGGTTGTCTCTGGGAAGCTGGTAGAATGAAAGCAATGCTCCAAGACAAGCAGATGGCCCATTCGGTCTCTGCATATTAACAGTTGGTGCCAGTGAGTCATTGAATTGAAAGGAAACAAGGTCGTGTGAAAGGCCAGGCTGCCAACTATCACCCAGAAACTACTTGTCTCCCAGCTCCATCCCATTACACAGGGGCTTTTACTCTGGTCAGAAGAGGAGTGCAGAAGTAACAAGTGCGCTAGAATGGCCGCTCCCACAATCAGCACCACACATGGTTAGATGGGCTCAGGAAGTTGCGGGGAGGGTTTATTAGCAGCATGTTCGGCATAAAAGCATCTCATGTTTCCTTGCAGTGAAAGTGAAGGAACACAGCCTCCTCCCCCTCATGCTGGAGCAGTTTCCCTTTCTGTATGTTTCTGACCCAACACTGAGCAAAATGTGGAAACAGCAAATCACACACACTGAACTGCTCAAAAAAGAGGCCTATGGAGAAGACCGATCCAAGAAGAAACTCCACGATGAAGTAGGTATCTCTCAGTTTAAAGTTGAGAATAAGCCAGAGGGGAGAGAGCCTGTCCTCAGCACTGCTCACCTGCTTACCTTGTCTCCCTTAAAGATAGAAGAATCCCTGAGAAGGCATGACCTCCTTACAGACCTGGTGAAGAAAGAATATGAACATAACAGAAGACTGGTATGTCAAGCGCAAGTGGGCCTTGCCGTTTTGAACTTAAAAGTTTTCTTTCTTTCCTGTGTCTAAACCAGGTACATAGCACAGATCCACTTCTAGGGCTTTAACCATAGTTGATGAGGGGAAAGTGCCAGGTGTCTCATGTTCAGTTGTGTGTGCCAGTACTGGGACTTCCACTCAGGGCCCAGGCACTGTCCTTTAGCCTTTTCACTCAAGGCTGATGCTCTACCACTTGAGCCATAGCTCTACTTCCACCTTTTTGGTGGAGATGAGTCACAAAGGACTTTTCTGCCTTCTGGCTGCAAGGTAGTTGTGGCTTAGTGCTTTCTGCCCTCTCCTATGGTTCTCAGGCCCCAGGTAACTGAGGTAGTTTGCCAGCTTCTGTTAGAACCTGGACTGGGAACTGTACTGAGCACCATGTTGCCCCCAATGAGGTCAGACAGTGTGCCAGGAAGAGACCAAAACATCTGTGGTTGTGAGGTAGGTAAGCCATGGGAACTGTAAGCCTGAACAATCGCATTGTGGCACTGTACTGATCTGGAGGCTGTCTGTACATGCCTCATTTCATCCTCAGTACTGTGTCAGAGATGGTCTAATTTCCTTCGTTTGGACCCCACTAAATACTTTGGACAACTCAGGCTTTGCTTGAAAGTCTCAGTGCCATTTTCCTACTCCTGTTAAGCGGGCATCAGGTGTGTGATGCACTGACCTGGCGGAAGGAAGATGAGAGCCTCGGTTGAGCAGTGCTCAGGTCCCGCTGCTCTGCCCAGCGTGGTCCTTTTGGTGCTGCTCTTCCGATGGAGGAGATGACGCTAGAGGCCGCAGCCTTCTGGGGACGAATCATATTATGACCAGGCTGTCATCGGCTACTGGCCCTGCATGGCTGGCTTAGAGCTTGAAGATGTGATGGACAGCAGCGATGAGAAAAGTTAGTCTGGGCTGGGAAGGTGGCTCAGTGGTAGAGCGCTTGCCTTGCATGCCTGAGGCCCTGGGTTCGATTCTTCAGCACCACATAAGCAAAAAGAAAAAAGCTGGAAGTGGTGCTGTGGCTCAAGTGGTAGAGCGCTAGCCTTGAGCTGAATTGCTGAGGGACAGCACCCAGGCCCAGAGTTCAGGCCCCACGACCAGACCCCAAAAAAAAAAGAGAGAGAAAAGTTAGCCTTCTCAATCCTCATCCCTCTCTTCCTCCTTCCTAGCAAGACTTCAAGGATTGCATTCACAGACAGAGGCTGACCCAATCCAAGATAAAAGAAAATCGTCAGCAAATTGTTCGCGCTCGGAAATACTATGATGACTACAGAGTTCAGCTGCGGGGGAAAATGCTGAGAATGAGAACCCGTGAGGAAATGGTAAGGACAGTTTTTTTGTCTAGCTCTGTACAGGTGGACTTAGTCTGACCTTCATAACCACGTTCTGTCTTTGGGACTTTTGTCTCAATGTGAATCCAAAACAAATTCAGGCTGGGCACCTGTGGCTCACACTGTAATCCTAACTACTCAAGAGTTTGCGATCTGAGGAAGTGGCACTGTGGCTCAAGTGGTAGAGCGCTCACCTTGAGCTGAAGAGTGCAGGGCAGCGCCCAGGCCCAAAGTTCAAGCCCCACGACTGACAAAAACAAAAAAACAAAAGAATGCAGAAACCCTTGTTTTTTTTTCGGGTTTGGGAAGGTGGCTCAATGGTAGAGCGCTTGTCTTGCATGCATGAGGCCCTGGGTTCGATTCCTCAGCACCACATAAGCAGAAAAAGCTGGAAGTGGTGCTTGGCTCCAGTGGTAGAGTGCTAGCCTTGAGCTGAAGAGCTGAGGGACAGTGCCCAGGCCCAGAGTTCAGGCCCCATGACTGGGGAAAAAAAAAAAAAGAGTTTGCGATCTGAGGATTGTGGTTCAGAGCCAGCCCAGAAAGGAAAGTCCTTCAGACTCTTGTCTCCAATAAACTACTCAGAAAACCATGAGTGGCGCTGTGGCTCAAGTGGTAGAATGCTTGCCTTGAGCTGAAGAGCTCAGGGATAGCGCCCAAGCCTAGAGTTCAGACCCCACAACACACACACACACACACACACACACACACACACACACACACACTAAATTCAAAAGTTTACACTTATCCATACTTCATTTTATTATTGCACAATGCATTCCCGTTTTTTATTCTCAGTCTCCATGGCTCACATCTTAATGTGAATTCTTGGCAGTACTGACATTTGAATTCAGGGATTCATATTTGCTAGGCAGGTGCTATACCCCTTGAGCCACACCTCCAGCCCTTTTTGTTTTGTTTGTTTAGAGGCAGGGTCTCACTTATAACCAAAAAGGGGACACAGCCCTGATGGACAGATGAACAACCATGTATAACCATAAAAAGTATATTCAAACAGAGTTTGGTAATAAAAAAGAATTAAGTACTGTTGGGTGCCAGTGGCTCACGGCTGTAATCCTAGCTACTCAGGAGGCTGAGATCTGAGAATCGTGGTTCAAAGCCAGCCCAGGCAGGAAAGTCCATGAGACACTTACCTTCAGTAAGCCACCAGAAAACTGGAAATGGAGCAGTAGCTCAAAGTGATAGAGTGCTGGCCTTGAGCGAACCAGCTCAGGGACAGCACCCCAGGCCCTGAGTTCAAGCTCACAACAAAAGCAAAAACAAAAATTAAATATTGATATAGTCTATAGTGTAGATGAATCGTGAAAACATTATGCTACACGAAAGAAGTGTGTGGAATAGGCGAATCCACAGAGGCAGGAAGGACATACATGAGCCACAGGAAGAGAGAATGGGAATGACTGCTGATAGGGTAGGGGGTTTTTTTGGAGTACTGAAGATTTTCTGAAACTAGTGGTAATGGTTGCACAATTCTGAATATACTAAAACTAACTGAAGTATACAATTTCAGAGGAAGACTGTAAATGTAATTTAAGCTTTGTTTTGAAAAAAATCTTTGTGAGTGGCTGGGAATGTGGCTTAGTGGTAGCGTGCTTGCCTAACATTCATGAAGCCCTGGCTTTGATTCCTCAGTACCACACAAACAGAAAAGACTGGAAGTGGTGCTGTGGCGCAAGTGGTAGAGTGCTAGCCTTGAGCAAAAGCAGCTCAGGCCCTGAGTTCAATCCTCAGGATTGGCAAAAAAACAAACAAAACTTTGTGAAATGTGATCCATATATACCTCTAGGTAAGCATGATTATATTCTTCAGTAAAAGTGCAGCCTAATGTATCTTTATTAAATAACAGCTATTTAAGAAACTGTTTGAAGAAGGCTTACAGATTCAGAAGCAAAGGTTGAGAGACCTAAGAAACTATGCAAAAGAAAAACGAGACGAAGAAAAGAGACAGCACCAGAACGAACTGGACTCATTAGAGAACTACTATAAGGACCAGGTGGGCCTACCCGTGCTCGCTCGCTCGCTCGCTCGCTCGCTCATATTGCAGTGTGTCGTCCTGACTGCCTGTGTCAGAGGTGGCTTAGCGTTGACAGTGAGCCTCCGGGGCAGCTCACAGCTTGCCCCTGGTCAGGTGACACTGCCTCTTGAAAGACTAACAGTACCGCTTTGCGCATAGTATATGGCTTTGAAGGTTTTGAGCCTATGAACACAAAGTGTTAAGAATTACTACATTTGGTCTATAAACATTCAATTTGAAACTTTTTTTCTTCTTCCCTATAAAGTTTTCACTACTGGCAGAAGCCATATCACAGGAACGGCAGGCACTGAAGGCCAGAGAGAAATCCCAGGCCCAGGTAATACCTAACAGGATGGAAAATAATTGATTTACATCTCAAGGCAGTAGAAAACAACTGTATTATACCTTATAAGGGACTGGAGAGAATATTAATAAGAAAATCTGTCTACTAAGACATTATGCTAGGGTCTCTTTATATCTGTTCAAGGCTCTGTCAGTTATGAAAATCATCACAGGGGCTTGATGGGTGGAGAAAAAACAAATACCTGTGAACATGACTTCTCTTTCAGACGTTACATAAGGTGAAGAGGGAGCTGAGATCGAAGATGGAGAAGGAAATCCAGCAACTACAGTGCATGATAACGCAAAACGACGAGGATGCTTTCTTCCGGGAACTTGAAGCTGAGCGCTTCAAGGCTCGGCTGCAGCTGGCTTCTTTTCAGTACAGTAAAAATCCCTTTCCCTGAGGCCAGGCGAAGTCTCTGGAGACCTTTACTAGGACAGTGCTAAAACTGAGCCAGTAAACAATGTACACTGAAAGAATAATTTTTAATGCCTTATGTATTCATTCCGGTACTTATTATTTTTTAAATAAAAACCACTTTTTCAAAGCTTCCTGCTTTTAAATTTATGACCTAAGCCAGAAAAAGACCAAAAGCAAAAGCATATTCTTTATAATCTTATTTGTACTAAAGCAATTAACAAGTTTTGAATGAACATCTAGCTTCCTGAAGCCTATTGCTATAATTCAACATAAGATAGTGTATATTAAAAATAAACACCTAACCTCAGGGAAGGGAGGGAGGGAGGGGATGGTAGGGGGAAAACAATGGAGGGGGTAACAATGTTCAAGAGGAAGTGTACTCATTACCTCACTCATGTAACTGTAACCCTCTGTATAGTAGCTTTACAATAAAATAAAATTTAAAAAAATAAAAAAATAAAAAAAACACCTAACCCCTGACTGAAAAAAGGAAAAAGAAAAATCTCCAATTGAGAGAGAAGTGTGGGATGGTCACCAGAGGTGGGCTGTGTTGGCCCGTGGCTATGTAGTGTGTGTGTCTAGGCGGTGCGATGAGAGGAATGGACAGCTGGGGTGGGTGGTGGAGGCCTGCAGTAAGGAGGCCGCGGGTGCACACACCACGGGAGCACCAGCGATGACAGGGAAGGAGACATACATAGCCAGCTTAATAGTGGGCAAAGTACGCACACCAACTCCATCTCTGCAATGGGCACGTGAGAGAAGAAAAAACTCACTCGGGGCAAGTCTTCAACAGTGAAGACGCTTCCATAAACAGCTTGAGAGCAGATGAGGATATGGAGACCTTGTTAATGAGAGCCAGGGACAAGCCAAGGGCAGGCACCATGACAGGCTGGGAAATGGGAGGCTCCCAGGAGGGCATCAAGTGTGAGATCAGGAGGCCCTCAGGCTGGGAATCTACCCTAGTGAACAGCGGACAACTATCTGTTACTCTGGCCCCAAGGCCTCCCCCTCTGTAATGGCAGCTGACAAGGCTAGGCCACGTGGTAACGAAGCCAGTACTGGAGCAAAATCAGTTTACTGACAGTATCTACGGGATTTAGAGAGCTGTTGGGGTGGGCCCTTTAGTCATGTGCTTCCACATTGACTGACTTCTTGTCTATATGTGAACTGAGTTGTGAAGACCTGCTTGGATTGCCTTTATTCAAACAGGCTACAGGAGCATTGTCTTGGAAGTACGGTTTCCCAAGAGTCGCTGAAGTCACATGCCTAGCCCTAGTCAGAGCCTGGCACACATTTTGACACACAGTATCTCAGACTGGCCTCGCCATGTAGCCCTGGCTAGCTTCAAACTTCTCTTTCAGCTGAATGCTGGTTATTACAGGTATATGCCACTATATTTGGACTTTTTTAAGTAAACACTGGTTGAGTGAAAAGATAATTTTTTGTTTTGATAGAGGGCTTTGCCATCTAATAGGCTGGCCTTAGAGCAATGCCCAGCACAGCAAATAATACCTCTTAAATATAATTTTAACTTTAACTCCTAGCTTGTCTAGTTTGCTGAGTGTGAAATTGCCCTGCATATCCTGTCACTCTACTGGTGCAATCCACCAGTGCTATCACGGGTGCAAGCATCTAGGATTGGATAAGTGTAGAGGGGACCTGGTTAGCCTTCATTATAGATAACAAAGAACACAAACTGCAGGTTACTGTGCACAGAACTTACTCATACAGAAGTCAAATCTGGGGATTTGTAGACTAATACCAAAAATTCTTACTGTACTAAAACTTTACACATTTTAGGTCAGACCAGTAAACGCAGTGATGTGAGATAAACCACACAAGTCCAGAAGAGTACCAAGTATAGTATGCTCACCTTACACCCCTGCGCCACAGCTGCTCCCAGGCATCCCGGGGAAGGATACACCTATGCATTTAGCTGGACTTTCAGCCACTGGCACTGAGAGAGCAGCAGTGAGTCAGAGCTCTGAAAGTCCATGGCTTTTTGGGAATTTCTACATTTTTTTTTTTTTTGTTTTGTTTTTTTTTTGTTTTGTTTTTTGTTTTTTTTTTTTTTTGTCAGTCGTGGGGCTTGAACTCTGGGCTTGGGCGCTGTCCCTGCGCTCTTCAGCTCAAGGCAAGCGCTCTACCGCTTGAGCCACAGCGCCACTTCCGAGAATTTCTACATTTTTGTTTTGAGGATTTCACTGCCTAGCACCAGGACAGGCTGTCATTGTGAACCCAAGTGACCTTGGTACGAAGGGCTTCCAGGAGCACATCCTCCTCCCCACCAGACCACCAAAGCAGGGAGAAGTGCACCTTCCTGCTCAGCCAGGACATGCAGAGGCCTGAGCTCTGAAGTTTAGCAGCTACCCTGCTAGAGCTTTCCACGCAGGATGGTGTGCACCCTCCTTTTGTGACTGTCACCCTTGGGACGAGCCAAGTTTTTTCAAAACAATTCATTACAAACTCAATGTTCTTAAAAAACTTTGTTGCTGTGACAGTGCAAACAGCATTCATTTTATTGCTCAACTTTAGCATGGGCACATACATAGTTAATTTTTAAAAACCATTTATACAGATGTTATTGATAAAGCTCATGTAACAACTGGGTGAAAAATACAAGGAATATCAAAGCTAAAACACTCTGTAATAAATACAAATACAATGAAAATGATAAAACTTTGTTTTAAAGTCAGTTTGAGAGAGGAAGAATATTACATAAAGTGAGCTAATTATACCTAGAAATAAAACAACTCAGCATTTGGTACAATCATCATCCTAACGTAAGAATGTTAAATACCACAAATGGCACCCGTTGATGGTAAGCTGCAGACAAGCAGGAGCCGCTCTACCAAAGTGAGAAGGTGGCAGAACCATCTCCAACGCCCACCAGTGCAATCGGTCCAATGCCCCCCCACATTCCAAGCAGATTTAGTGTTGTAAAATAAGACAAATCACGTTATACTTAAAGGAAGAGAAACTTGTGCTCTCAATTGTAAATACAAGAGAGGATGAAAGGGCAACAAACTATGTGCAAAACAAAATGTACACTATACACAGCACTGTTTTAAATTTCTTTACACCAAAAAAATAAGGCCCTCTGCATCAAATCTCACCTCTGTATTGCGAATGAGCTCTAAGAAGCACTCACTCACGGTTCATAATTAAACATGCATGATGGAATAATATGGAAAGGTGACATCACATATTTGAATTAACACAACTAGAGAAATGATAAAGAACAGTTAAGGAGGGGCATGTGGAAATAAATATTCACATTAAACATGAGGTGCAAGTCCAAGGTTCAATGACAAGAGTCTTTCGGTTTCCTTAGCACCTATTTTGAAGTAATGGGGTGATATAATTTTGAAACTGAAACCTAAATATGTTTTCATATATCATGTTAGTGATCCCACAGACTGTCATGTAGGGTGATTTTCTTTTAAAGCTCTATTAAAGTCATTACAAAGTTAAAAGGCACTCAAAAAGCGGTGGTGTTTGCCTGCTTTATGTTGTACATGAAAACAAAAATGATAGTAGCTTTTTATTACCACATCCCTGTCAGGTAGATTTCTATAAAGTGTTCATCGTGTATTTTGTACTGAAGGATTTTAAGAGGAGGCACAATAACAAACTGCACTAGTGCTTTAATATAAAACAGAGATGGATCTGTAAGCAACAAGGTGATATGAATGCTGAAAATACAAATAATCAAACAGCAGAGACCATTTCCACACAATGTTCCTCGGTACTACTAAGAATGCAGTAGGAAAACCCAACATGTTTGGGAAGAAAAAGGCTATTGTAAGCACATCACTGCCGCACAGCTGGAGCTCTGACTAACGTATCCATAGTGGTCAAATTTGGCCAAACAAAATACATTTAAATGCTGAGGGACTACAAAAGCAGTTCTCAACTTTCAAAAAAAAAAAAAGAGCAGCAAAGTTCCCCTCCCACTTTTATATACCCATTCCCTGCCCCATTTCACCCCACCCCGTGAAAGCTTAGCTCAAACTCCAATATTTAAACGATAAACATTGGAGCTGCTTTGAGGCAAGGATGGGGAGATGAGGGCTGCAGCCCTTCCTCCCAGCGCTGCTTCCCCGCTGGCCACTCCTCCTCAGGTGCCTCACTCAGAGGAGCACTGTCTGAAAGCACAGATGGAAACCCACTCCATCACATGGAACAACACAGGGACCTGTTCCCTTTAGGACTAAGCTGCAGAAGTTAAGCCTATTACTAAAATTTGCTATGCTTACTTCATACATCTGTTTAAAAAAATAGCACATACTTTTTGGTGGCTCAAGTTAAAAATCCATTTGTGATTTTAGATTTTTCTCCAACCCCTCACTGCAGAGTCTGGGCTGCCTTCTGGATCACAGCGCAAGTCATACACCTGTGCTTGGAAATCAGATGTGGATTCTCAGCACTGCAGAACTGGGACTTCCTTCCTTCCTTCCAGATTGAATCCTTCAGTTTTAAAGTGATTTCTCTCACAGAGTTAGAAGGCTTTTGTTGTTTGTTTTTAAGGCAGGATCCTGCTTTGTAGCTCAGGCTGGCCTCCAACTCCTCCCCCTGCTTCAGCCTCCTGAGTGTTAGGACTACAGGTATGTGCCACCGCACCTAGCTTCACTTTTTTTTTCTTAGTACTCAGATTCCTTACTCACCACCTAGTACTACCTCCAGTTCATCTGGTGAGGTAAAAACAGGTTTCCTAAGCTTGCTGAATAGTCTTCAAACCGAAAGTATCCCTTTTGCATAATTTTAGCCAATTAAAAGCATGAGCATCCAACAAAGCTTCAGGATGGGTTACTTGATAGAAAATTACAATATAATTAAAATATAAATTAGGTGCACTTATTAGAGACTTTGGTTTACAGAAATATATCTTAAAAGACAAGCTTACCTAACAAAGAATGAAAATCCCATCCCACCTGCATGCTGAGAAACTATAAAAACACAGTATTTCAATTTAAGATGAAAGTAAATCCAAAATACCTGACCATATTGATTCAAGATAAAAAATATTAGGTTTTTAAAAACATCTTCTTAAAAACAGGGATCCCCTGAATACATCTTACCATAGCAAATAACTACTAAGTCTAGACTACATGGTCACATTAGGAATTTGAAAACCAAAATTAAATAGTTGTATTTCCAGGAAATTCATGATTAAAAAGTACAAAAACCCACTTAGGCTAGCTTGAAACATACGATGCAAAGTATAATGCTCTGCTATAGAAAGACATAATTAAACATGTAAATGGCTTAATCTCTGAAAGATAATATTCTTTTAGCCAAT